TGTCGAGTGTTACAACTATTTCCTTTTTAAGGAGAGCTATAGAATTATTCCATGCCTTTGTTAGACAAAGCGTTCATCCCGTGACCGCGGCTACGTTCGGCGACTGACTGTCGCCTCGAGCCCAAGCTCATTATCACATCTCTTGAACAATTACAATCGGATTGAATAACTATAATTGTTCAATTACAGCTATAGTAGACTCTAGGTTACAATGTTGCGGAATTATCCAAAATTCCAAAGGCTCCGGTGTTCTTTCATCTCCGACATATATAGAGAACTGAACTATAACCAAGGTCTATTCTAAACTATATAAATGAAGCTAATAATAAGGCTATAAATAGGGCTAATGTTTGATTTAATCCATCAATTTGTCCATACCGTTACAGGGAAATATTATTCAGAACAATGCAAAAAATGGTGTAATAGTGCAACAATATGGCTTGGCTTTGAGGGAAGTTAATCGTTCTCAAGCAGGCAATTATACTTGTATTGCTAGCAACGTCGAGGGAGATGGTTACAGTAATACTGTCGAACTTAAAATCATGTGTAAGTTTCTGATGCCTCTAAACCTCTTTCACTTTAGAATATAGAATACGTTATTTACATATGATATAATATATAATTATATTAAATATATATATATCTCTATATCAAATATACGTATTTGTTACGTATAAAACGATTAATGTCATTTGTATGATCAATATTGTAGAATATATTCTTAATACTAGAAAATTCAACATTTTATTTATATTTTTTAGACAAACCTATTTGTTTACCTGACCAGAAACGAATTTATGGCGTAGCTCGTCACGAAGATGCCCGAGTAACATGCAGTGTAGAGGCATACCCATCTCCAGATAGTTTCCGTTGGACGTTTAACAATACGGAAGAAATGGTAGATGTACCTCAGGCACGGTACAAGAATTCTACACGTCATAGTCAAAGTATTCTTATTTATCGACCAATTACAGAAATGGATTACGGTACAGTGTTCTGTTGGGCAAGTAATACCGCTGGCCAACAAAAGAACGCTTGTATATTTCATATCATTCCAGCAGGTATGTGACATATATAAATTATTGTAAGATAATTATTGAGAACAGTTGTTGTTTCATTTTTCAAGCAAATGAAAACCATAGAATACCCTATTGTAACTTTTACCAGTTTGAATATTCCATTCGAACGAGATCTTAAAATGTATATAAAACATATACATGCATATATTAGAAGTGGAGGTACCTACATTTTTTTTTGTCATGGATTCTGTACTCAATAAAGCTTCATTGACGTTTGACAAATCAATTGCACGAAAAATAGAATCATGTTCTTACTCCTATTTTTACCCAATCGTTATTGTATGCTGTATATCTGGAAAAAAAAAATGGATGTTAATATTTAGAGAATTGTTTTTAGACATCAAAGAAGTGAAATACGTTTAGATATAAAATGATCGGTTAAGGTTTATATTTGAAACTTATACGCAATTTAACGTTATATTAAAATCTAATTACATTACCCGCATGCAAATTAAGCTGAGCCGTCATTAAAGACCGGTATCCATTTATCCTATATGTATTTTCATCATTGCGTATCATTCAGTGATGTGTTGATTGTCCAAATTTAACGAATGGCATATAAATATTTCTTATAATTGTATAATATATAGACGCAAAAATTCGTTTCGTTTATCAGAATAATGCGCGAAATGGGAACGGTGAAATGATAGTACATCTACAAAATGCAGATACATGTACACACTTATATATCGCTATGTCTTGAATTTATCGCAAGAGAGAGTTAGTTTCTCTGCGTGGTTAGAGCAATTTCGGAAGTTCTTACTCTTGTAAAATGTTAAATCATGCCTTCACTTTTGTGAATGAAACATACGATTTCGAAGTGAGAGTGAAGGTTAGATACGAGATAAAGTCCACATTGATATACACTTATCAATCAAATATTTGAAGTTCATTTTCTTAAAAACATACCTCGGAGTGGAAAAACCTTGTTGCATGTTCTCAATTTATCTTCTCATATAATATCATCTTCTCTTCGGTTGTATCGTCAGTTACGAGATACATTGTATAAGATGTAAGCGTAATGAACCTGGAATAAGAAGTATCCTCTCATAAGAAGTATCCTCAGACGAAATAGAAAATTTTCATGCGTATGCTGTGTGTTACTACGTTTGCAGCATTCTTACATATGAAGTATTATAATTCTGTAAAATGTGATAAATCATAAAATTGGGGTGCAACCAACTCTGGAACTATTAGTTGTCTCTGTGCGCGCGCGCGCGCGCGCGTGTGTGTGTGTGTAGTGTCGTACATCGGTAGCTAAACCATACGCGATGTTATTCAATGGCATTACACGATGCAGACAACTAGGGTTCAGCTATTGATTTACGTTGATCTTTCGGATCTAGTTTGACACACTCTGCTATATGAAACGATATCATGTGGCATCTATTTTGGATCAGTTTTTAGTGTGTGATCTATTTTCGGAATATTTCTGTTTTATCATTGTGTTGTTATTTCATCGTTCCCATTTCACTAATTAACTTGATAATTTAGAAGTGATATACTGTCAAAGTCGATTTTGCGACACTATATTGTACTATTGTAGGAGCCGAGGAAAAATGAGGGCTCCGGCAACGGGAATCAAATCCGCAACACTTGTATCCTGTGATTGGCCAGCCGCACCTTAATAAACTTTGCCAAAGCGCCCTCGCTAATTCCTCGTTGTTATTGCTCCTTTTGACGGGTATGGAGGCCTCGGCCCCACACTATTACAAGGTAATATTTATACGCCATCCGTTAAATCTAGAGAATTATAAATATATCACTATAAATTTAATGATAGCTTATCTGTGCTGCATTTTCTCTGGTAGTACAGCCATATTTTTCGGCCCAGGAGCAATAATATCAGATCAGATAGTATATTTGTAAGCATCGGATATTTAAGCAAGGATTAATATGATGAACAACGTTCTGATATGAACCTTTCGACGATGATTGTATTTGAAATCACGTCGATTGCTATACTATTTGTCCATTTTTCGCCATCTTGTTCCCATACTGATCCCATCTCTTCTACTCTTCAACATCATAATTGCACTATTATACCAGTGTATGCACAATGCACATCTTACGCAGGATCTCAGCATCGCTGACTATTTTCCCGTTCCTCTAATTTTCCTTATCGTTTCCATCACTGTCATCACAACAATCTCAAACACTTCTGTTGTTGATCTTGGTTAGGTGCTTATGGTCTCTTCTATACTTCTCCTTTTTTACAGGTCATTTTTTCCTCTCCTTCTCCTCCTCCTTCTTCTCCTTCTCCTTCTCCTTCTTCTTCTTCTTTTTCTCTTTCGTCTCTTTGCGCAATTTCTTACGGTATACTTGTAAATTATTCGGTTAACAAATAAAAGTTGAATGAACTGATACGTGAAGATTCTTGCGTTGATTCTTGAAAGTTTTCAAAGTTTAAAGCTAAAGCTTTAATAAATGCCAAGTATAGTCTTTAATCTTTTATGAAACTGGAAAAAGATTAGTTTCTGCATATTCCACAGATAAGGTATACGAAATGTAAGAACGCGCAAGCAAATAATCATCCCATAATAAACGTCTAAAACTAGGGCTATGCGGCATCGCCTCGAGTGTCGCAATCCTGAGTTTGTTGACGAGTACGACGATAGCCTCGATTTAATAATTTTAAGAGTGGTCGGTACGTTTTGCGTTCCTCCTAAATTGCCTCAACGTCTCGAATATGAAAATATCTGCAGAGAACCTCCTTTCCTACCATTTTAAGTAATTAATAATAATGTCCTATTGATCATTTTCGAGAACATCAACAGAGAATAACAACAGTAAATAAGCTATAAAAAAGCTTGTTCCTATATTTAATAAATTTAAAGATGGAGCTATCAACAATATGGTAACTCTGTAATGAACATGTCCTATACCCCCCCCCCCCAAGATTTATATGTGTTCAATCCCTTACGGATATATTATATCGATGCATTCTTTCTCATTTTTAAATCATTACACAATCTATCGTTTTTGTTTATGTTTATGTTTCCACAGGAAAACCTGAATCTCTGTACAATTGCACGCTATCTAATCAAACAACTGATTCACTCTCGGTGGAGTGTTGCGTTGGTTTCGACGGTGGTCAACCGCAGCACTTTCTTCTTGAAGTCTTTGATCAGCATACAGGAGTACTGCAAGCAAATATTACATCCGAAGAAAACGCTGTTTTTACCGTTCACGGATTACAATCTGGCAAAATCCTTAACATGGTTTTATATGCCGTAAATGCGAAAGGAAGAAGCGAACCCACTTTGTTGGAAGGATTTACATTAAAAATTGCTGAGAAACAAACTGGTAAGTAATGTTATATACTGTCAATACTGGTATTATCCTGATCCTGTACTATTCGATTTCTCCGATAGATACATAATTGACTTTTAGATCACGTTGCATTTATTTCGAAAATATATTGCATCAAACTGGTCTTCTGCTGTTTCCGTTTGAAGTGTAATTTCGATATTTGCTCGCTTCAGATAAGTAAATGGTCTTCGATTAGCATTGTGTACAACAAGTTACTGTTATTTGTATGCGGGACAATAGTTTAAACCTTTCGTAATACGTCGATATTAAATCGCAAATTGTTAATGTTTAAACATGTTCGACATGAAAGATAACATTTTCATTTGCCCTTTCCAGTTCCCTTTCATTGGTTCTGATCTTTATATCTATTTCAATCTACTATACCGAATGTATATATAAAAGTTAGCGATATTTTCTTTTGCCTTTTCCTGCATATCGTAACTTGTTAGTATGCAAATCATCATACTTGAATTATAGCTTTCGTATTATTTTAAATTTCCTGTTATTATGCATTGCAAGTATGGTATATTCCAATTTTCAAATGACGTACAAATTGTCGTTTTGACACAATTACATTGATGCATATATTTTGTTCGCAGGAATACCAGTACCATTCGAAATTTCCCCATTATTAGGAGGATTGATTGGAGTAGTAACTGCATTGCTTTTTGTTACTATTACTATTCTAATAGCTATGAAAATTAGAAATGAACGAAGAACTCAAAGACCAAGTGATTTACCGTTAAAGAAAAGTACTGCACCCAGTTCCGAAGATTTGTATGATACGGAAGATAGAAATCCAGATGTTGTACCAATAAATAAAGGTACGTATACTAGAATCTACATTATATTATGTAAAACTTATCAGCTTTGGGGAATAGAATGTGGCATGCACATCTCTGTTATTGCAAGTGTTTCTTTTTTCTTTTTTTTTTATTTATCAAGGACCAATACGCACTGTCGGCCAGTGCCAGTCACCAGCGACCCCATTGGATTCATTGGAGCATATGAGCATATGCAATATATGATCACACGTATTTGGTCGCGGCAACCAGTGAGTCCCCAGCGAGCACGGAAACACGAGCGACGCAAACGCGGTTCGCTGATCTGTAATCAGTAGAGACTAGTGCTTTTTAACAAATGTTGCGGACGTTCGCAACTTTCGTATGGTATCTTTGCAAGAATGGATGCATCCAATATATTTCCTTTTTCTTTCTCTTTTCTCTCTTCTTTTTTTTTCCTTCGTTGGGAATAACTTTATAATTGGAACAGTTTTTCCGACATCCATTCCGTCGACGTTCTCTACGATATTCAGAACTTTCGAGTCTCCGAGCTCGGTCTGTGCGTTTTGTCGCTTGGTTTTTGGTTGCCGGCGACTGATTAATAGTGCCAATAGGGGCCTTCAGGTTTTAAAAGTTCTCATAAGCAAGCAAGTAATAATAATAACAATAATAATAATAAATTTGAAGGTTCTGATTACCAATTGACGGGATCAATATCTGGCACTCCGTTAGCCACGCAAAATACACCGGATGGACTTACGGCGACTTCGCTTTCTATACAACAAGTGACTCACCTACAAGGATTGTCATCGTATCCACACGAGTATAATAATTATCCGGCATTATCGGTGAGTTACGTTGGTTCTAGTACTTCAATTTGGTTTGCTTTCTTCAATAGAAAGTAAACTGCCTTTTCTTTCGGGTTTTCTTTTATTTTTCTTTTTTTTTTTTTTGTTTTGTTTTGACAGATAATTGTATTTACAGTAACTGAAGAGAACGTTGTTCTCTATGAAAAGACAAATCAAAACGTGTATACAAACATTATTGCATAAAGAGCAGTTTTAAATGAAAACTTTTGTTTCTACTACCAATATTTGCACACAGATACTTACTTATTGTATTTATATCAGAAGAATAATATAAAAAGGAAATACATATGTACATAGTACTAATTTTGTATAACTGAAAGTAAAAATAAAATAAATTTGCAAATAACAGTGGTGTCAATATAAAGCTGTTCAAACCATAGGACAAATAGCTCTTATTATATAATATTTGAAATAACTAACTTTTAATTATTTTTGTTAGAATTTTCGAAATTTGCTCTGTGACGAAAAATTAAATTAGACACTGATAACTATTATTTAACACATTCTAATAATTATCTAATAATAATAACTATACGTACATATTGTCATGATATTGATAACATTTATCTCAAGAAATATAATTTTTGCTTTAAATATGGCCTGGCCAGTACTGGGTTAATTCTAATCCTAAATATGCGGCAAAGTGGAAAGAGGAAGGGACACGTATACCGCCAAACTAAAAAAAAAAACGTGAAAGTTTTAAATTATAACTGTTTCTTTGCTGTAAAAAGTTATGTAACAATTATTTATTGTTGTTTTTTTCAGTTAGAATGTTATTTATTGAAAGGTATTACTATCGCTGTATGTCAAGACACCGTCTGACTTATATTTAGATACATAAATAAAAAACAAAAAATTGACGTTCGCACAGAACGAACGAATGTTAGATATTGGTCGCTTAAAGTTTTTAATTTGATTAATGCTTATGATTAGAAGAAATTAATTTTTCAAAATTGCGATTGATTTAATCGATTGAAGAAGTTGGATATTAGTCGCTTATTATGTAATTGTCCAGACTAAATCATTGTTTTTTATTGCATTGAAAAACTATTTGTGATGAGACGTACCAACAAAAGGTAAACGGAAATTTCTGAAACGTGAACACACAAAATATAATGATACACGAAAGCTATAGCTTTTTCGCCTCAATAGTAGTCGAATGAAAGAAAGATTATCAAATCTTTTTTCAAGAAACCATATCGTGAAACGATAAGACATTGTAAAATAATACCATTATTTTATAACGGATATCTTTCTCTTGAAGTAAGCGTAAATTTTGCCTTTTAAAATAGGTTCTGTACGAGTCAAATGCTCTGCTACTCTAAGTATTTATAAGCATTTTCATCGAGCATATTATTAATGTTCAAAGCTTTGAATAACCGAGAACATATTGTCTTGATACTTGAAATTTGTTTCAGAGAATCATACAAACTATCCCATCTTGTAGCGCCAGGTCGACCAACAAGGAATCATCTCCAAATGTAAATCACCGATTTTAATGAAACTTACGAACGATGTTGTTCTCGAAAAAATATTTGACATGTATTTGTTTTACGGGCCGAAATTTATGTCGAAGAAGTGAAGACAAAGCCCCAAAGCTCGGGGCTTGGAAACATATTTCACAGAATGTTTTGGAAGCCATTACTTTTAGAAAAATAACAGCCAATTTGTTCTTAAACAGCAGAATTCAGCTGTGTGAACAACTTCGGGAAAAAATTAATTCGATAAAAAGATTTAATAAAAATTCACATGTTTCTGCTGATTTTTAGTGCAAAAAACTGGAAATGATGTTGAAAAGTTTGAGAAAATAGTACATATTTTCAGAGCATTGCGCCTAATCCAAGTTGGAAAGAAAAGAAGCGGAACGAATGCGAACGCGAATGATCGCAATGGAATCAGACCCAGTCCAATCTCATACGTATTTTCGGCTACAGCTTTCATGTACGGTGCATTGGCCGAAATAGTTACATTTATTAATCGCTTGATGAGCGGAGCGAGCATAGTATCTCTTCTCGTACAGATACTTTGTTTCGCTGGTTTTCTTTCCAACTCTGCATAGTACGTAGATAAGCGTTACGATAAATATATAGACGTAATTCTTATAAATGAGAATAAATATAAAGAGATCAGGACTGACTTAATAACAATAAAAATACGTAAACTCTTCGTGTTACGCCCATCATATAAGTAATGTTCATTCTCACGTTTATGTATGTACACATGCAAATTTGTATATTCATTTATTGCGCAAATTTGTAAATTTATTTACTGTATAATTTTATTGCATAATGTGATTTATTCTACAAGTAATAATGTAATGTTTTTTCAATCCTTTTCAGTTATCAGACGAGGTAACGTACGCCGAATTATGTTTGACACGTCCATCAGCATTATCAACGTTAGTAAGCGATACAACGTTGACTGGTGCAAGTGGAATCGGCAGTTTAAGTACACTCGACGGTTATGGTAGTGGGGTGATCGTAGGTGGTAAACCGTGTACGAGAGAAGCTACGATTTATGCTTGCATAGATCACAATGCAAGACCATTAAAAATCGATCCATCATCTACTTCGCCGTTCACATTGGCATCTCTGTCGACAAGAAATACATTTCGGGACTGTAATGTTTCAACGATGAATAACAAACACCCCACAAGAGAAATTGTTACTGTACGTACACCGTTAATATCAACCCAGGAAAGTTGTGTATAGGGATGCGATTTTGACGCGCTGAATATCAACGAATACTACGTTTGATCTGTTGTGCGCGTCTAGTTCTTAAATGTGGTTCTACAACCATTTGTCCTATAACGAAACGTACATACATACATATATGATATTTGATATGCGACAAGTGTGTAAAGTAGTTAACAGAATTAACGTCAGGTGGACTAATCAATCATTAATTGTCAAATATTAGTACGGTAGCGAAAGAATACAAAGGAACAACGTGTCCTCTTGGTATATTAAAAATAAAAGCGTGATATTAATGTTAATCCACGAATTGTTCAAAGACACTAATAAGTTAAGTTTAAATTTGGTCACTAAGACTGATTTAAATATTATGTAACCTTCCATGTACAGGGTGCTCCGTTTATTGTAAGCAACTAAATTGTTTCGCCCGTTACTTGAAATGCAAAAATATTCGCGGTTGTATGATTTAAAGATCTGTTTTTAATACTAGATGGACATTACAAGTTCACGAAGCTATACGCTTTTCGTTACTCGTGTTATAACTCGCACCAATTGATTGAAATGCGGAAGATCAGTGGTTATATCGGTTCTCAATTTTTCGCTGAAATCAATATACATTACATCATTACGCATTTCATGCATTAAGATATTAATTACCATTTCTTCACCCAACCTCCATATTTTTCGAATTACTTACGATATGTAAGTACTTAGCATTGTGTTTAGCGTATTAAACTATAATATTTTGTATAACTGATAATGATATTCATTCGGGTGATATGGAAATTTCTATGACTACTTTTTATCCATAAAATGCTGATTTACCTTTCACCATCGTATGATGATAAAAATTCATGGTGTTACACAAAATGATACGAATAACAGTGTGAGAATTGTCAATTCTGACAATGTAAGAAATATATTTTTTATCATCAATAAATATACAGGAAACATTCGATAATTGCATAAGAATATTCTCTTCGTAATTGCACAGTCGTCATCCTTGTTACGGGATGGGAGGTTGGGTATATCGTATTTGGTGTCGTTTTAATCATAAAAATGTAGGAAACATGTTGTTGATAAACATGTGTCATTTATCACAAATCAAAAATAAGAAAGGTTGATTTTTAAGTTAAACGTATCAGCTTGTCTCCAGCCTTTAACGTTTGCCGAACGTCCCTCTTCCTCTTTCACTCACGTTGTCCTTTTTCTACGTTCGGCACATCTTAAATCTCAGTTTCGAGAATCGAGAATCGTTTCTGCCTTTGCAGAATTTGCAACACTCGATTTTTTTGCAATTACCGAATGTTTCGTGTATTTTGTCTCGTTCTCTTTTCTTAATCGTGTCGGCCGGATAAAATACGACGGTGCGCAGGAAATATAAATCTCCATTGATTCATAAATTTTCGCGGTTTACCCCTTATAGTTAATATACATATAACGGAGGTTAAGCTACACAAGGTTGTGTCAGGATTACTCTTCTAGCGAATTTTAGCGAATTTCTTGTAACAAGTGATATTCGCAACAGGAAAGATTGCTGTCAGTCGGAAAGGAATAAAAAACAACAAACACATACAAACAATCTCGCTTGACATTTGTCATTCCTTCTCTAGTTAATTTGAAAATTCGGAGCCTTTATAGATCCGTGACTAGAGCGGAGAGAGATAGATAGATAGATAGATAGATAGATAGAGAGAGAGAGAGAGAGAGAGAGAGAACTCCCATGTACATGTGTACATATATACTGTCACGACATGAGAAATTGCCTTAATCGACGAGATACCTTTCACGTAGTAGCACTGCTAGTCAACGAACGATTCAAGAACGGCCTCGTTCTCAACTTACTGCTAAGAAAGAAGTTGGGTGTACTGGATCCAAGTCGTCGTCGTGTGAGCCTTATTAGGCTGAAGGAGGACATTCAAAGTGGACTGCTAGGTTTTAATCCGGAGCGGGTCAAGAGTGAACGAGTAGAGAATATCGGAGAGGGCAACATCGAAAGAGAGTATTCGTACAAGTTAGTCGTAGCTCGTCCTCTTGTGACTCACAGTACTTTTATCTTCGCGCATATCGCTCGTCACAGAAAGCTCGCTTCTTGTATATGTTAACCATAAGCGAGATGCTTAGTTAAGCTATGCTGTATACTGCCAAGTTAAACTATGATGTAGTGTGTGAGTCAAAGGAGATCATCGTTTCTTTGTCGACTAATGTGAACAACATATTTTAAGGAAAGTCAACGTAAGAGCCTCGAATCAAATGCAACCTACATCATCATCTTTTTCCCCATCATTAATAACAATGAAAAAAAGTTGTGTTCATGAGTTGGAGATTACTATATATATATATCTTCGCATATCTTGTTTAACTTATTATACCGATATAATTACTACGCTATAAATTCCAGAAAAGTATTTATGAGTTGATACATACTTGGATTATTTCAGAGTTCAATAGGCTTTAATGAATTTTTATCACAATTAAAAAATTAAATAAAGCTGATCAATTGAAACTGGGATCACACAATGATTTAATATTTAAACATATCAATTCGATCATTATTATTTATGGCATTATTTTTAATGTCCACGCGTATGTGCACGGTTGATAATTATTTGAAATAGGGGCAATTTCAGCGATGATCTTGAAATGTGTTATCAAGGTCAATATTTCGAACAACTCTTTCTTATGTATGTAAACCGCCGTTCGGCTCCGGTCCAAAAGTTATAAAGCAATTTACATTTAATACCAAATGGCGTTATTCGATAAATCATTTCACAAATATTTATTTTGTAAACAATGTTACAACGACGGTAGGTATATTTATATATTGTATATCTTTCACCAGTTGAAGATCAAAACAACATTCCATATGTGGCGAATGAAAAGAGAGTTTGCGTTTCGTCCCGGGACTACCGGTGGACTCGTCAGTAAGGCTATGCCCGGTAGTTCCTGCCTTAGACGTAGAGGGAGTCTCGCTAGGTGCGGAATTTGTATCAATCGCTCGTATATTCGACCGCTAGCGAGTTAGACAGACTCGTTGTCATCGTAGCCCTCTAGTGTTGGCGGTTGGTACCAGTGGATCGCCTGGGAGGTGTTGCGCCGCGTTGATGCCTCGACCTGTCGGCGGCCTATTGATACCGATCCGCCACACATACATATCAATCGATGCATCGAAAATTATTTAACGCCTATCTTGCCGCCATTCGCTGCCCGATGCTATTCTATGCCCGAGGTTTTTCTTTTTTATTTGTCCAATGTTAAAAACGATTATCTCATCGATGAGCTAAGTTTAGGTTGGGTTGTATAAAAATATCTAGAATAAAGCATAATCTTAAAGTAAACGTAATCGAAGATTTTTGCAAATATCTTGGCAACTAAAGCATAGCGGCGGTTATACACACATGTATGTATGTGTGTATAGGAATGTTTGCTTTGAGAATGTATTTCAAGGTCATGGAAATTGGTGAGGTTGCCTGTATTCCGAACCTTCCCGCAGGGAGGATTCGCTTTTGCGAGTCTATGGGGGCTGGCAAACCCACGTTCCCGCAGCCAGGGAGGACCGTCGGGACAAGCGTCCCGCTTACGTGAGTCCTCTATGTACACCGCAAGGAAGGTTGCTGTGGTGTAAGACTAAGTCTTCCCCACGGAGCCTTGGGTAGTAGCGCACCCACGATCCTGAAGCCAAGGGTGAGACCGTCGGGAGAGCCGCCGAGGTACATTTCCTCAACTTCCGCTTACGTGAGTCTCATCTGGGTCTGACTGCACGGTTAGCAGGATAGCCGTGCAGCAGAGACGTGGCGGTACATCCACAGGCGCGGTCCCACCGTTGACAAATGAACGGTACCACGGGCGGTCGAGTGTTAGCCCAGAGGGCGTAGCGAACCCTTGGCTCGACCAATAATGGGTATGGACTCGTGGTGGCAGTGGTTGTGGCCAAATGCTGGCAAGAGGGCTGGATTAAGGAGGACAAAGTCCTCCGAGTGGCCTTCGGCGGGTGAGCAGCGTCCCACCTGCTCCGGATACCGTCCCGGAAGACGGAAGGGCTTGGGCCCCGTTCGACCTGAGACGAGTGAGCTTCCTGCGGGCCTAACTATTTGAGGTAACCCGGTACTCGGTACCGTGTGCGCTGGTTGGGCGTATCCCAACTCCGATGGCTTCTAGGGTTGCCCGGGTGCTGTTTAGATACTAAATCTCAGGAAAGTACCCGACACCAGAAACCAGACTACATGTATTCCGAACCGAGTTACCGCACCGTTTAATATACATAGTATTAGTTGATTTTAGTTCCAATCAATATATAAATTTGATGTAGCACTGCTAGTATGATGATAAATAATATGTATCATAAAAGAACGTAAAAGTATATTGTAAAAGTGTAATATGACCAGAATATATATGTCGGGTTTACATTAGAATTAGAGTTAGGGGCGTGAAACGAATCTTCGTTTGGATTACACGTTGTCGTTATGCAATAGAGAAGACATTGACTAATGCAAATACGATTATCATAAAACCAGACAAGTAACCGTGGTAATTAGATATTCGAGAAACTAATAGCGATGATCCTAGGTTCAATAACGAATCCGCGGTAGACGGGATGAAAGATGAACGTGCTCACAAAATCTAAGTCGGACGCGTAATATTCACTGGTCGTAAGGGGTTACTCTTTTCGTTGATGAGATCGCGAGAGAGAATGACTTTCCCGTCCCAATGATGCCACAGAGGAAAACTATAATGGTGCGTGTCTAAGGACACGAGATCATCGGATTCGTCGAGAAAAGCCTTCGTTCAGAAAGTAAGGGAAATTGGCGTTGCTGCCAATCAGTGGTTAGAAAAAGATGCTAGCCGCCCTCGAGGGAAAGTTGCTAGTGGGAGACGTCGCTCGTTGAAAAATAGGTATCCCCTATTTTCACGTAGTTGGGACAAAGACTATTTGTCTGTTTGAAGGACTTTAGTTAGCTAAATCTTAAGATTTATA